CCGCCACTGGCATTCAGTGAGACGTAGACTGCTCATGTGGCTGGCCTGGCCGCCTGCGCTGTCTGTAGCTCTGTGGCCTTGATCTTGGTGAACATCACATCCTCATTGTGCAGTGTTTTTAGGGACTTTCGGCAACTGACTTCTTACAAGGAAGGTGGAACTGAGGCGTATCCCGAGTGAAATCCATGATGTTGTCACTGCATGTCATGGAAGAGAGGCCTGGGCCCCCTCAGGCATCCAGTCAGCTGGTCCTGGGGGGCACGTGCTTCAGAGGGAGGCTGGGGGTGCGGGGGGGTGGCCATCACCTGGCACCATGACTTGCATTTGAGACCTGCCGGCCTCCTGCCTGCTGCCTGCTGGTCTCAGCACGGATAGTCAGGGTCTTCTGGTCAGTCTGTGTGTCCCCTGGGAACCGCCACATGCCCTATTCACTGTGCCCTCCAAGAACTTGGCATTTAGAGGTGTGGGGAGTTCTGGGTATAGAGGAGACTCGGACTTCCCCAGGTGACACGGTCTCCTTTTTCCAGGCTTTGGGTTAGGGCTTGCCCACAATCTACAGTCCCCTTCCCTTTTCTTCCCGGACTGGAAGCTTGCTAACCTGTGGGCATGCTTCTTGCCTGCACAGGTGGAGCCCTTGCTCTTGCTGAAGGCAGCCCTCATCCTGCAGACCTGCCAGCGCTGCCCTCACGTGCTAGCCGGCTGCATCCTCTACAAAGGCCTGTGAGTACCGCCGGAGCCTCTCCCCCTCCCAGTCCCCTGCAGCCAGATCATGCCGCCCCAGGCCGTAGGCGGGATCTCCTCGGGCCAGTTCCAAGCGGGCTGGTTTGGCAAATAGCAGGTAGTTCAGGTTTGATTGAGGCTACGTTCCTGACTTTGAGCAAAGGTGGGACGTTGGAAACTGTTGTGTCCAGAAAACAGTCAGGAATAGAAAAGCCAGGCATTTGCTTATTTATTGAATTTATTGGGGTGACATCAGTTCACAAAGCCAGACAGGTTGCAAGTGTACAACTCGATAAACATCATCTGCACGCTGCATTGTGCACCCATCGCCCACGCACAGTCCCTTTCCTTCCCCATTTCCCCCCTTTGCCCATCTCCACCTATCACAAAACCATACAGGTTGCAAGTGTACAACTCGATAAAACATCATCTGCATGCTGCATCGTGCGCCCATCACCCCACGCAAAGTCCCTTTCCTTCCCCATTTCCCCAACTTTGCCCATCTCCACCTACTCCCCACCCCCTTCCCCTCAGGCTATCACTACACTGTTGTCCGTGCCTATGTGATATGTATATATATTTTTTGGCTAATCCCTTCATCTTCTCTCATCCAGTCCCCCCTCCCCTCTGACAGCTGTCAGACTGTTCTATGCATCCATGAGCAAAGGCAATTTAAAGAGATCATAGAATTCTCAGGACGGGGCATGCGTTTCTAGTTGTCAGTCTAGGTGATGGGAGTGCAAAACCCCCAAGGTCACCAGCAGCGGCATGTTAGTGAGGGGTGTGGGCCTGCGGCATCCTCCTGCGGCTGCAGCTCCGCTCTGCAAAGCGGTGGTGGTGCTGCTTCTCCTCCAACTCCTGCAGCCTCCTGCTGGGCTGACCGCCTCTTGCTGGGCTCTGAGATCTCTATACTCTTCACGCACTTGGAGGGCCTCTTCATGAGCCCGTGTGCCTAAGAGGCCCTCCACGCATCTTCCAGGGCCTCTCTCGTGGAGGGTTCGCCCTGACAGCCCAGGGCAGGCAGGGCTGGGGCGCTGTGCCCAGAGCTTTCTGACGGCCGAGGGATGGACTCGGGTCTTCGAGGCTGTGTTCCCAGTCCTGGCGGCTTCTCTCTCCCAGCCGTGAGATTTTCTCCGTCCATATTGGTCTGCCTCAGAGTAGCTGCACATTTATTGGTTAATTTAAATATTAATTTAACAATTCATGAACAGTTAAGTGATTAATTTAACTGTTCTCTTTTTGATGGAAATTTAAATTGTTTACCCCTTTTTTCTTAAGACGATTTTACCTTTTTTTCTCTGTAATGAACATTCTTCTGCATATTTCTTGGTACAAGCCAGTCACAGGGTTGCGACATTTGAAATTTTAATGGAAATCGCCAGAGTGCCCTCCAGAGGGCTTTACCAGTTGACACTTTCACCAGCTGTGTCCCCAAGATCCAGGCCAACGTGGGGGTGAGGGATCTTTTCAGTCCAGAGTCCTGCAGTGTATTTCTTCTCACACTATCCTTGTTCCTGTGTCTGACCTCCTAGGATTGTGAGCACCCAGCTCCCACCCTCTCTCACGGCCAAGGTCCTGCTTCATCGAGCTGCACCTCGGGACCAGGTAGGGCTCAGCCACCATCTGGCTGGAAGCTTCCACACCAGGCAACCCTGGGAGACTGGTCTGCCCGGGATGGACAGGCGCTGTGGGGACGGTCACCTCCCTTCATCTTGTCAGGACCTCAGGCCTGTCAGTGTCATTTCCTCACGAGTGACTTCCCCAGCAAGGCTGGCAGAAAAGCTTGCTTTCCGCCTGGTGGGCTTGGAGAGTTGGTTTTTCTTCAATCCAAGTGCAACTATGAGAACTTGACTTCCCTCAACACTGGACTTTATGCCAAAGAGATGGATTTTTTTTAAAAAAATACATTTTTACTGAATTCAGAGAGGGAGAGATAGAAACATCAATGATGAGAAAGAATCACTGATTGGCTGCCTCCTGCAGGCCCCCACTGAGGATCGAGCTCGCAACCCAGGCATGTGCCCTGACTGGGAATCGAACCAAGACCTGGTTCATAGGTTGACGCTCAACCACTGAGCCACACCGGCCAGGCAAGATGTTGGATTTTCATAGATGCTAAAGGATGACTTGGGAAATCAGATACTCTTAAAATACTTCCATTGCATATTTACTTGTTTTTATAATGAAAAAACACACATGGATGCTCATTGAAAATCAAACTGCCCACAGTTGCATTGGTGATCACTTCTTTCATTTTACTTGATTCGTCCTAACATAGGAGGTCACAGGTTTAAATGTACCGCGGGGCTAGCTCTTTGCACTTATTAAATCAGTAGCCATTTAGAATGATGGCAGGGCTTCCGTCCGCTCCTTCCCCTCTGCTGGTGGAGGTGCCATTAGAACAGTCTTTCTGGTGAACTGTTTATCATGAGGGTCGCAGGACCTTCACGTTTTTGTCATCCTGGAATGTGTGTGAGCACTGGGCCGGGGCTATGGCAAAGGAGGCCGGATTCTAGAAGGGTTCTCAGAACGTACAGAAGAAAACACGAAGCCCCACTTTCACCCCCAGAGGGGAGACGCTGAGAAATCAGCACGGAAAGCCTGACGTGAATGGGTGGAGGGGGTTTCACCTGCCCCCAGGGTGGTGAGCAGGCAGCGAGGGCAGCCTCCCATCTGCTTCGCGGCTGGCACGTGCTGGGGACAAGCATCTGGGACAAACTTACTTTATGAGCAGATGGCCTCGTGCAGTCCCGATGGTTAGCGAGGAGGGGAGTGGTACCCAGCGCCAACTGGTGTGTGTGTTTATTTGCAGAGAATACCTACAGGAGGGGATGCCCTGCGGGAGCGTGGTAAGTTGTGAGGCGCATTGAGGGTGCGGTCCTCTATGCTGCCTGTCCCTATGCAGTCCTGTGAACGTGTCCCAGATGCTATTTCATCTGCTCGGAAGATTAGGGAAATGGATGGAACAGAGCTTCGAGTACAACGTTAGCCATGGGAATCCTAACTGCAAATAAGGCTCATGATTTTAGGCGCATCTTCTTTAAAAATGAAACTTACTGGGTGACATCGGTTAGTAACGTTAACCATTGGTTAGTAAGTTACAGTTCTGTAACAGGTTTTCTGTATCCTGCATTGTGTAGGTGCACCCTTTAGATCCCCCTTTCCAATTCCTCCTTAACTCATTATAGCGAGACGGCTCAGGCAGGTTCCGGGGGACCCTAACTGGGAGATGGCCAGACGCATGGCCAGTGCCCGGAGGACCTGTGCAGGACTGGACACGGGTCCGGGAGGGTTGTTTTGTGTTATTTTGAAGCATAAGTTGGGGCACTTTCCTACTGTCAGCTGGAACTGCTCTTCCCTCAGTTTATATCTTCAGTGCCACTAAATTTTCTTCCACTGGTGTCACCTCCACAGCTGGGAGCAAAGGTGTCCCCGTGGGCTCTTCCTTGCTGACCACAGGAATCGTGGCTGCAGTTCTGTGCTTCTGTCTGGGCTGAGGAGTGTGTCACAGCTCTGCTCTCTGGCCCGGCATGCTGGGGTACCTGTGTCACCCCAAGGACAGTTACTCCCCCTCTTCTCTGGTCCAGGGGGGCCTTCCATATTGCTTTGTGATTCCAGGAGCCGTCCTGCCCCCGAATGTCCATATCATGCCTGTTTTCGTGACGGAAGAGGAAGCTGCCAGTCTCCATGAGTTCCCCGGGGAGCCTGTGAGCAAGTAGGGGAGCACCGGGTTTCCCCTTAAACCACGCTTTCGGGGCTCCCTCTCATGGGTTTGTGCGCGCAAGCCCCAGGTCCTAGGACGCCCCATCCGTCCTTCTCTCCATCTTCTCCGTGCTCTACCCTGGGAGGGGGCTCCGGGGACTTCAGCAGAGAGAAGAGGCAGCCGGTATGGGGACAGGAGTGTGGGTTTCAAGACCCCGATCTGTTGCTTATCTGCTACATGACCTTGGGCAAGTGCGCTCACTACCTGAGCCTTAGTTTTTATAAAATGGACCCAGTAATACCTACTTTCTGGGCTCCTGGTGAAAGCTGCAACAGTGTTAGTGTAATGCCCGGTGTGGGGTGACTCAGAGTAGACCCCAAATGCGGCTGACTCAGTGGGGCCTGCTGTTTCCAGTCGATGATCCTGGCATCACTGGTGAAGCCCGAGGGCCAGGCATCGCCTCATTTTTATGCCTGTGGTTTGGCCTCTTGGACTCTGAGGCCCCAGGCACCGATGCGGTGCGTTAGTCTCCCCGGGGAAGGGCACATGCCCTGTGCTGTCGCCATGTCCTCATATCTTCCCTGTTCGCCAGCCCTCCTGCATCTCCAGCCGGACTCCAGGGGTACTCTGCTCGGCATCCTCCCAAGGGTTGCAGCCCCTCCGCCCTGAAAGAAGACCGGCACGAGGAGGCCGTGGCCTGGCCGTGGGCAGCCACCCCGGAGCCCAGGCCCGCTGACGCCACGTGGCCAAATGGCAGTGGGGAGAGTGGACACCCCTCCGACCGTGGCCCGGAGAGCGCCCAACCTGCAGACCCGCAGGCCACTGCCAGGCACCAGAGTCCTGGCCTCCGCCGCTCCCCAGTGACGGGGAGGGAACCCGGTTGGCCCAGGGGGAATGAGGAGCTGGACTTGTCTGAAATCCACATTCCAGAAGCTCGGGAAACGGAAACAGCCTCCGGTTCTCCTGCCTTCTCCAACGGGTGTGTCCCAGACGGTGGTGGTCCTTGTCCCAAGGAATCTGTCAGCAACTCTGGTGGCCCGGAACCCAAGGAGGCGCTGCCTGGGGACACAGCCATGGCGGGCCTCCCCTCCCCCTCTGCTCCTGACACGCTCACCCAGAACGGAGCCCTCGAGCAGCACGAAGACCTCTCAGGGGACAGCAGCCCCGCCCCACTCCCCAGAAGTACAAGGAGGTCATCGTCATCGCCTCGCCCAGGTTCAAGGCAGAGAGGAACTAAGCTTCCGGAGGGGGGAGAAGGCACGGAGCCATGTGCGGATGGGGTTCAGGAGGGCCGTTCGGCCCCCAGCCTGGAATGCCCCTCGGGCTGTGCAGACCTTCCAGACGACAGCCCCTCCACAGACAGCACTGACCCCGGGGCGACCCCAGCGTGCCAGGGAGAACTCGTGCGCGTGAACCTCTACACTCACAGTGTCAAAGGGCTGGTGCTGTCCCTGCTGGCCGAGGAGCCACTGCTGGGAGACGGCGCCGCCATCGAGGAGGTGGTGAGTGCTCTGCCCTGCCCCAGCCCCTGGGAACGCGGGCAGGGAGGGTGCTCCCCGACACAGCAGGAGGGGACAGGGCTCCGTGCTGCGTGCCCCGGTGAAAGGCCTTGCTGATTTGGTGGGCATGGGCATACCCGCCTCCCGGGGCTTGTGGGGTGAGTGAGAGCAAGCCCAGGGCACGGCTTGTTTTGCGTGTTCCTGCATCTTCAGTGTCTTGGATGCGGAAGACCAAGTTGGAGTCTTGATTCTGGCTGTGGGACCAGGGCCTCTGGCTCCTCGCCAGCAGTGCGAGGTGGTGACGGCCCTGCTGTTTGACAGTGTGGTCATGCGCACACGGCGCTGCTGTGCCATCGCCACCACTGTTGGCCTCACTTCTGAACCTGGGCAGCTCTAGGCTCTGAGTCGTCTGGAGCCTGTCCCTGCATGGTCACAGCCGGTGTTGGGACTTCTTCAGAAGCTCCCCTTCACTGCTTAGCGCCCCCCCACCCCCACTGTACCACAGTGAGCTGGAGGCTCCTTCCTAGAGGGCCTGGGACGTCCCAAAGCTTAACTGGCTCCAGAAGCTCCTCTTAACTAACCCGTCCCAGCCCCTGCCCCGCTTCCAGCAGTACCTTCTCTGGGGCCTATCCTGGAGATGCAGTTGCTATAGTAACAGCCTCACTGTCATTGGCAGGGAGGTGGTAGCAGTAGGAACGGGAGGTTGAAATTGCTGCAGGGTGAACGGTGTCCTGGGGCTGGCCTTGTGTTTGTTCTTCAATCTGTATCATTCTCAGCCGGTCTCGTTAGCACGTAGGCTGTGACCCTCCGTACAGGAGCAGGTCACCTTGCAGCGCAGAGGCAGAGGATGGCAGCTTCCGTGCTCAGAGCCCCCGGCGAGACTGCTCCTCCGCAGACCTGCCTATCACTCCCCGTCCCTCAGGCATGGTCACCATGTGGCTCCTCTGCTTCCATACCCTCCTTCACCGCAGCTCTCAGCGCCGCCGCCACCCCCTCTGACAGCTCAGGGACCACGGACTGTACATCTCCTCTTCCTGCGAGGCATGGTTTTCAGGGTCTGTCCTGCTCAGTCTCCAGCTGTAGACAAATTATTTTGAAGGTCCAGTGTTTGGATGCAATAAAGTAGATATGATGGCTCTTTTACCTTCCCCCCAGAAAGAAAAGGAAAAACTAGTTCAGGCTGCACTTGAAGAAGGAAGTAAGATGTATCCTGTAGACTCAGTGTGTGCTAACCACTTGACATCTATCCTTTAGCCAGCCTGTGGGAGGGTTCTGGGGCAGGCATTGTATCTCCCATTTTACCAGCAAGAAAACAGGCCTCGTTGAGATAACGACCTAATGCAAGTAGCGGGCCCCAAATTCTTGCTCGTTTCTCCTCCCCACCCCATCCACTGTCCCCTACTGACCTGACCGTGGAGTGGTCGGTGGGAAGGTGAGGAAAAGGGGAGGTGCCCGCCCTCCGGGGCTCTGGCTATGTGGACACGCCCTTGGTGGCCACAGCCCACCCATGTGTTCGGACAGCTGCCGCCATGGGCTTGCATGTGTCAGGTGCG